TTTTTCAGAATGGCAAAAAGAACACGTTTTCAGAAATTTCAAAATAGACACTCAAAACACAAAACACAAAACGAAGTCAAAACACAAAATACAAAACTGAAATACGAAGAGAACGGCCCCTAAGTGTTTGTTTGAGCACCATTTTTTGTGTGGAATGCATTTTAGAATAGTAGGCCTGCAAGTGTAAGATTTTATAATAGAAAATGTGAAGTTGTTATCATTGGATAAAAGACATGTGACCTCGCCCAAAAGGGATGATGCGTCTTCTCCTAAGTGTCACTTTTACAATTCTAGATTTAGAGGGTATTTAGCATGTGATTGGCACCCATTTTTGGGAAATTATAAATTCTAGAATGGTGATTGATGGAAAAATGTGTAATTGGAAAGTAATGAAAACTATTAAATTTATGTGTAATATTATTTTATTTGAAAAATATATAGTTATAATTAAGAAAGTGAAATTTTTTTTAAAAAATAATGGGTGACAAACACCCTCTTAATGATTCTGAAAAGTGATCATCATATAACTTAGGTCTGACAGGTAAAAAGTAAATTGACAAGTTGATTAAGAAGTGTCGCGACAAAAAGATCACATCAATCAATCGCAAAAGATCTTGTATGAAAATCTCTTGGAAGAGGCGAAGCCAGGGAGATGCATTTGCTTAATCAAATGCTCGTAACTTTGGTATTAAGTTACAATAGATCATACCACCTCGTCTCGACCATGGGAATTCGACCTTTGCATGGTGTATCGGTGGAAGTGATGCATGATCACTTCAACTTCCTCTTTTTGATGGTCTCGGTTGGGCCAGGTAAGTAAACGATGTGTAGTGTATGTCTGAGGTGGCTTGTTAGCTTGTGTGCCATGTGTATCGTGACTGAAGCCACGTAGGATAAAGGTAACAAAAATCAATCAAAGCCCTTGTTTCATAGAAATTAATATCCAAATTTTAATTTAAGTTAAAGTTAACAACTAATTTTAACAACACATTTTATAGAATCCACGTCTTTTCAATCACATATTTCATCAACTTTTATCAAAATCTACTATAAATTTGATTTTAATCACTACCAAACAATAGCATGAGAAAAATACGAGATCTGTATTAGATTTTGAAAGGAATGTTTGGAATATTAATTTAGTGAACGCGGATCACAAAAAATAATGTAACAATAAGTTTAAAATTTAGTTCAAGATGACAACCATTCTTTTTATTTTTTTTTCATACTCATTTCAATCAAATATTTTCACAATAAAATATTTTTCACATAAATTTCAAAATTTTCCTTACTTTTTAACTACACATTCTCCTAAAATTTATTATTCAAAAACTGGTTCTTTCCCAAAAAAAAAAAAATTATATCAATCAGGGGGCTAAAATTAAAGTAGAATTCAATAGTTCATAGGTTAGTATAAGCCTACAAGGGCACAAAAGAGTGGATTCTACAAAGTAATTTTTTTCAAACAAAGAAAAATATAATATTACAATGTTTTAATATCTTGCATGATACCTTCAATAAGGTGGATTATGCAATATAAAAANTTTTGAAGAAAAAATGAATTTTGAAATAGTGATTGATGGAAGAATGTGTGGTTAAAAAATAATGAGAATTTTTGGGTTTCCGTGTAGTATTATTTTATTAATAGAATGTGTGGTTGAAATGAAGAAAGAAAAAAAAATGAGAATGAGAATAAAATTTGTATCAAACGGGGGCTTACATTAAATAATTACAATTTATTGAATAATCAGTTTTTTTAAATAAAATATTATTAAAAAAATTCTCAAAATTTCAAAGTAAACGCGTTTTTCATTTTTATGTTTTCGAAAACTGTTTTTCAGAATGGCAAAAAGAACACATTTTCAGAAATTTCAAATAGACATTCAAAACACAAAACAAAGTCAAAACACAAAACTGAAATACGAAGAGAACGGCCCCTGAGTGTTTGTTTGAGCACCATTTTTTGTGTGGAATGCATTTTAGAATAGTAGGCCTGCAAGTGTAAGATTTTATAATAGAAAATGTGAAGTTGTTATCATTGGATAAAAGACATGTGACCTCACCCAAAAGGAATGATGCGTCTTATCCTTAAGTGTCACTTTTACAATTCTAGATTTAGAGGGTATTTAGCATGTGTTTGGTACCCATTTTTGGGAAATTATAAATTCTAAAATAGTGATTGATGGAAAAATGTGTAATTGAAAAGTAATGAAAACTTTTAAATTTATGTGTAATATTATTTTATTTGAAAAATATATAGTTATAATTAAGAAAGTGAAAATTCTTTTAAAAAATAATGGGTGACAAACATTCTCTTAATGATTCTGAAAAGTGATCATCATATAACTTAGGTCTGGCAGCTAAAAAGTAAATTGACAAGTTGATTAAGAAGTGTCGCGACAAAAAGATCACATCAATCAATCGCAAATGATCTTGTATAAAAATCTCTTGGAAGAGGCGAAGCCAGGGAGATGCATTTGCTTAATCAAATGCTCGTAACTTTGGTATTAAGTTACAATAGATCATACCACCTCATCTCGACCATGGGAATTCGACCTTTACATGGTGTATCGGTGGAAGTGATGCATGATCACTTCAACTTCCACTTTTTGATGGTCTCGGTTGGGCCAGGTAAGTAAACGATGTGTAGTGTAAGTCTGAGGTGGCTTGTTAGCTTGAGTGCCATGTGTATCGCGACTGAAGCCATGTAGGATGAAGGTAACAAAAATCAATCAAAGCCTTTGTTTCGTAGAAATTAATATCCATATTTTAATTTAAGTTAAAGTTAACAACTAATTTTAACAACACATTTTATAGAATCCATGTCTTTTCAATCATATATTGCATCAACTTTTATCAAAATCTACTATAAATTTGATTTTAATCACCACCAAACAATGGCATAAGAAAAATACGAGATCTGTATTAGATTTTGAAAGGAATGTTTGGAATATTAATTTAGTGAACGCGGATCACAAAAAATAATGTAACAATAGGTTTAAAATTTAGTTCAAGATGACAACCATTCTTTTTATTTTTTTTTCATACTCATTTTCAATCAAATATTCTCACGATAAAATATTTTTCACGTAAATTTCAAAATTTTCCTTACTTTTTGACTACACATTCTCCTAAAATTTATTATTCAAAAACTGGTTCTTTCCAAAAAAAAAAAAATTATATCAATCAGGGGCCTAAAATTAAAGTAGAATTCAATAGTTCATAGGTTAGTATAAGCCTACAAGGGCACAAAAGAGTGGATTCTTCAAAGTAATTTTTTTCAAAAAAAGAAAAATATAATATTACAATGTTTTCGTATCTTGCATGATACCTTCAATAAGGTGGATTATGCAATATAAAAAAAAATAAAAAATAAAAAAGCAAAATTTTAGTTATTACGTAATTTAATCGATAATGTGTGCGTGTACACACATATATGTGTGTTTGTTTGCCACCTAAAGATGGTGTTTAGCATAAATGAAACATGATGTCTAGTAGATCAAATTCATATATACTTACCATAATTTTTGCAATTTCCGTTTGACTTTTAATTTTCCAAATAAAAATTGGGAGGGGGAAGTCATCAAGGTTGCATACATGTACATTATGGGTTACGTTAAATTCGACATTCTTTCACGTGCCAGCAATTTACTCCATTAATTTTAAATACAATCATCCAATTAGTGGTCAGATATCTTTCACATATGGAGCGTCAAACTCCTTTTGCTACTACTAACTTTGTCGTATTCATTAGTTTTAACAAAAATTAAAATTAAAATAAGACCAGCAATCAAAATTATTAATGAAATTGTTAAAAAAATTGAGTATCCCAACGTTTAAAGGAGAATCACGCTAGGTTTGATAGAGCCATTTTGAAATAAGTTAAATTGTACATTCAAAATGGTTTCTTACTATTTTTTTATTTTTATTTTTTTGGAAAAAAATTCTACGGTAGAACAGAATCGAAACTAAAAATTAAATGAAATTGAATGTTTCCATTTACAAAACACCCGAAATTTAATGAATGATTCCAGTTCTAAAATGCTTGAACCAAACCTCCCAACGACCATCCTTATGTTTATGTGATATTATCCAATGAATAAAAATGCATTATAATTTCATTGCTCGACCGTAATTTTTTTAAATTCAATTTTTTTTTTCAATCATACATTTTATAGATCCACAACTTTTATCAAAATCCACTAAAAAATCGATTTTTAGCCAAACCAAAAAAGGGCTCATTGGACAACGTATAGTAGCCGCGTTGCCACATAGAATTGTGCTAAATGTAGCATTATTACTCTAAAAAGATACACAAATCGCTAGCCTAAAATTTTATTTGATAAATTTCAGCATTCATTACAATATTAGAAATTCAAAGACAATTGTGATGACACACATACACCAAAATTAACAAAAGCGAGTTTGAAACTCGTCTCATCAATCAATATTAATCAGGATGCACAATTCAGCATGTGCAAAGGCATGTGTTAATTAGTGCAAACCTCTATTGATTCAACTTATATTTTTCCCCATTAATTGTTGGCACCTTGTCATTTATCTCTGAGATCTTCAATGGAAAAGATGAAAACGCCTCTGTTTCTACTGATTTTCAACATGGCCATCCAAGTAAGTAATGGCGACTGCAGCATGTAGAGCAGCTCCTATGGGAAGAACATCTTCATCAATAATGAAGTGGGGCGAATGCCACGGTTTGATAGGTTTGGTCGTCTCATTTCTTGTTCCAATCATAAAAAATGTTGCGGGCATCTTCTGAGAATAGAAGCTGAAATCTTCGGCTCCCATAGTCATTGGGGTGAGCAGCACATTATTCTCCCCAAGCAATGACTCTCCAACCTTTTTAGCATGTCCGTATATCACAGGATTATTGATCGTAACTGGATAAGGTATCAGTTTCTCCTCCATGAAGTCGACTGTTGCAGTACACCGGTGGACAGTTGCTTGAGTTTCCACAACCTGTAAGCAGTGTACTTTCATAAACCCTGTCTTCTTGTGTAATTGCAGGAAACATAATAAAGAAATGTTTGAAGGAAGAAGAGTTAAAAGAGGACACTGAAAATACAATACTATGGGAAATAATGTTTCACTTTGCAATTTTCTCTTCTAAAAAGAACTTTTCAAGCGAGTTCGATTTGATCTTATATAAAGACGTTGATTTTCAATTATTATGTTATATGTTAATGATTGTACTAGGGGAAAAACTACACGTTTTCAAGAAATTAAAAAACCTATCATTGTACATCTTTGGCACAAAGGATAAATGGTGAATAAGTACCTCTTTAATCCTTTGACGGATGTAGGAATAACTTTCTGCATTCAAGAAACGAAACGTGCCACCAAACTTGACTGTCTCAGGGATTACATTTCCTGCCTGACCACCCTCTACAAATGCAACTGAGATTACCTGCACAGTTACCCATGAGCAAGCAAGATTTTTATCAACATATTTCATTCAAATCTAGGGGCAAGAAACAGCAAACTTGCCAAGTCTCATTCTCAATAAATTTGGGGCTGCCTACATGAATTCATTTTTCTTTCACTTTGTTCTCCATCATTAAGTCCATGGTAAGATCCAATGCAATCATATCATGCACATTTATTTAGTTTCACCCCACCCTTCTCTAACCAGTTCTACAAGGGTCCCATATTATAAAAAATAAAATAAAAATTGTTCTTCAAACGGGCACACGGAAGGGAAATAATAATACCCTGGCGTCTAAAGGATCAGTTTCTCGAGAAACAATCTGCTGGAGTGCAAGGATTGCCATAGAAAGAGCAAGAATTGGATCTCTAGTTTTATGTGGGCTTGCTGCGTGTCCACCTTTCCCATGAATGATAGCTGAAAATCTGCCTGATCCAGCCATCATTGGACCAGGTTTCGAACTGATTTTACCAGTGGGCAAATATGGTGCAACATGTAAGCCAAAAATAGCTTGAACCCCGTCTAGAGCTCCATCTTTTAGCATGTGATATGCCCCAGCATGACCTTCTTCACCAGGTTGAAAGACAAGCTTAACAGTACCCTAATACATAAAAATAGAACTTCAGAAACTTCCCATCTGAGGAAAATACTTTAAAGAAATTGTCGGTTATTAATCTTATGTACACTTCGATTATTTAGTGTTTACCTTCAACTTATGGGATATGCGCTTCAGCAATTTGGCTGCTCCAAGCAACATTGTCAAATGAGCATCATGGCCACAAGCATGCATTTTTCCTTTAATCTTGCTCTTATGCTCCCATTCCACCAATTCCTACAAATAACAATTTGTTGAGCCATTAGATGCTTGACCAGTAAAGGGTTCTTTCTTGCAGTAGAATTGTCATCGTTTGGAACATGAAAATTACACGAACAATATGAAAATGAATGAAAAGAACTCAAGCTCTAAGAAAATGTAGATTTAGTGTTATAACTCTACACAGAAGGTATCATGTGATTATCTCAGAAAATGAATTTTGAGAGAGAACCCATTTTTGCAGGCATCTATCGCGATTTCTCAAGAACTTTTGTTGCCTACAGTTATCGAACCCATAGGACAACCATTCGAAGTCCCAGACAGCGCCTGAGTACTTGACTTCTCTACCTACCATTTAGCTCAGAAGCTTAAAAAGGATCTCATCTTCCTTAATGCAATGTATAAACACAAGCAATCTAATAAGAAAAATTGACAAAAGATGGTGTCACAAGGACAGAGTTTGTTATGGATTTGGAGCTCTCTGATAACTTGATTTATCAATTTTGAACATCAAAATTCTCAATCCGTTTTTTATAGCCTTTGCATTTTTGCTGCAATCTTCCCATCATAAGAAAGGCATTAGTACTATAATAATTACTTTTGAAAACAGACTAGAGGCTACTTCTCCCCATACGAGCTGGACTATCTATCCGGTTGTTGTTTGAGAAATCAGATTTATTTTCTTGATTTCTCAACATTCTAATTTTTGTTTTAGAATTTAAAGATTCAGTCACATTTCAATCTAGTATTTAGAAAATACAAAGAACATCTACTCTTAGTTTTTCCATTACATAGGTACATCACAGACATAATGCAAACACAGGAGAAAAAATAACAAAAATTCAAGAATCATGCAAAATGTCGCCTGGAGGTTTTATAGCGTATTACATTGTTGACTTACTACAATACTTAGGGGTACCTTTAAAGATAATCAAACGTATGTTCCTTTTTACTCTAAAAAAATGCATATTCTTTTTCTGATAATACTCTCAGAAAAAAAAAGAGACTTCATGATTTTCTAAATGTTTTTGAGACAACAACATACTAGCCAAGACTGAAAACATTCATTACGTCGTCGACTTACTACAATACTTGGTGATATTTTTAAAGGTGCAGATGCATATTCTTTTTGAGACAATACTCTCAGAAATAAGAGACTTTCATGATTTTGTAAATGTTTCTAAGGACTGAAAACAACATACTGGCCAAGGGTGACTACCTTTCATTTTTGGTAAGTCAATGTTTTTACCTATTACAAGAATGAAGGTAAAAAAAATAACCGATAAGATTCACTTATAGCTCCTATATATCTGCTAGGCATTTGTTTCCCACACCAGCAGATAATAAGAAAAATTAAAAGTGAATAACAGTAAATGGAGGAATAAAAAAATAGTGGACTAAATAAGTAAAGCAAAATAAGGCATGCCAAGTAGCTTGTATTGTACAGACAGACTCTACATAGCATTCGCCCAACTTGCCCCACATTACCTGGTTTGATTTTCTTTATACTTTTTCTATCTTTTTGGGTCATACTGTAAAGTAATTTGCCATTTTCTAGATAAATATAAAGAAGCATCATCATAGTTTACTAGGTTACTATGTTCTTAGATTTAAAACACATTCAATTTGAATTGGTATTATAGCGACATCGTTTAACTTGGCGTCTATACCTAGAAAAACTGTAACATCATCTCCTTTACATTGATTCTTTTTCAAGCTTGTCCTCTTTTGTATACAAGAATGTTTAAGAAAGATTAAAGTGAAGAAAGCCATTATCGAGGTCATTCACGAAATCCATTATCAAGTACCAAAATAACATAATCAAATAAAATTAAAAGGAAAATTTCCAGCCTTGGTCTTTGATTTGGGTGCCCTATGGGTTCTTTAATCCACATCCTAAACTCTTCAAATCCTATCTCACTTTGGAAGGTCCCATGTGTCCAAGAACCAGGTTATTACTGCATCACTAAAACTATATTTTACTTTATAAGTTGAATGGCCTTTTCTCTTGGTGGAATCAAATTTTTCAGAGAAACTGGGGAGAAAGGTGGTCTTACTTCTTGGTTTTTCTTCCTCTTGAAATTCCTTAGTGTTCTATAGATTTTTTTTTCCCTTCTGCTTGTACAATTGTTTTTCTTCTAGTTGTTGGCCCTTTAAACAAAACTCCTAAGAAGTTCCTTGAGGTGTTTCTATCAAGACAAAATTGATTTCACTATAAGTCTTGTATCAACAGTTGAATGTCTCACTCCTGAAGTTGAACGTCTCTTGTAATCTTGAAGTGCAAGAGTTTCCCTAAGTGGAGCACACGTGGAAATAGCTGTTTTCATAGCCAAACTTCGATAAATCTCCTCTTTTCTTTCTTGATTCTTTGAATATTATCACTTCTAGTTGATTTAGTGATATCGGGTGTCAGTCTAACAATTCAGCTATTTGTGCCCAATCTATGAATTGAAACTAATTGTGCACAACGGGGAAGTACTCTAATAAGTGTATTTTATGCACTTATCTAGGCCATTAGGTATAGATATTTGGGAGTACTTTTGATAAATTATGACTTAATCTCTATTACATACTGTTTGGTAGGTAAAATTGAATGATTAAAAGTGAATTTGGAAGAAAGGAACCAAAAAACTAGCGAAAAAAAGGAGGATTTCCAAAGTTCAGAAACTAAAGTGCAAATATTCAAAAATTTATTCAGACTAAAAAAAAAAAATGATGAAAGACTATATAGAATCAATTGGATGAAATTGAAAGTCAAGGGACTAAATTGCAGCAAGAAATGACTCACTTGAACGAAGATGGAAAAGATGAGGACCAAAATGGACGCTTCCCATTTTGTATATGTGCAACCACAATAAATTGGCCAATGCGATCGCATTGGCCATTTTGTCCAGATGAAGGCAGCTTTCTTTATTCGATTGAAACTCTTTTGAAAACAAACTTTTAAGAGATTTTGGACCTAATTTTGACCTCTTTAAGTACAGATGTCGGCTGACATTCAAAAACCTCTCTCTAACATCTCAAATCAAATCATATCAACATATCTTTCGAGAACAAAGGGGCCAATTCACAGTATTTTGGAGAGAACATCAAACCTAGCAAGAAATCCAAGGCATATTACGTTAAAAACTTGAAGAATCAAGGGTCCAGGTTAAAGATCAAGAACAATAAATTGCTTCCACATATTTCTTGTATTCATATACATTTCGGGTGATGATTTTCCATTGTCTTTGTTGTTTTATCATAAGAAAATTTCTGGGCTAAATTTCCTTTATGTTGGGATGAAGATGAACCTTATTATTGCTTATTTTTAAGCAAAGACGAAGTAGTTTAGTTAATTTGTGTTCTTATTTGATCTTCTATACTTTGTTGCAAATTAAATGCTTGCTCATCATTTAGATATTTAGTTACTTGTTATAGTCTTGGGAAGGACATAACAGGTTTAAAATTTTGCAAGATTAACGTGTGGACAATAGATGTTGGGAATAACATGTATGACATGTGCAATCACCTAGATAATTGTGCAATTGAATGCTTTACTTTGCATATGAATAAAATTGGACTATCGATCACACAAGCCGAGAATTGAAAATAGAATAATAATAGGTGGATTCGAAATTTCAACGCGTTATTGGCATGCTTAGTTAAAAATAATCTTAGATAATTTAGACATAAACACATAAATCTCGTGTTACGTAACATTCGAATCTGATAACGAATTAATATAATTCAATTTAAAGTTTATTCCTTGTGGAATGATACTCTTTCTCACTAAGCTATTACTCGTCAACGATCCCAGATTCCGTACGTTTGTGGGGAACATATTTACGGGGAACATAAGCTATATGCTAGACACTCCGAAAGGAAAAGTTATTATCCTTTAACATTGAAATTGAAAGGAGTACAAATAGACAGAACACTTTCAAAGATAATGCTCTTACACTTTTCCATTCCAATTTTCATACTGATACTGTTTTCTAGTAATTAAATTAATCCATCTTCAGAACTTCGTACAATTATATAACTGTTCTATATGATTTAGCAAATTCAAGACTCCAAATTACCAATAATAAAATCATCCATCCATCTCAAACAAGCAAACTACTTATCAGCAAATCTCGAGAAAAAAATAATACCAATAGAAAACAGTCCTATTACGAGCGCGTGAGAGAGAGAGAGAGAGAGAGACCTGAATAGGGAGGGCATCCATGTCCGCTCTGAGACCGAACCAGGGCTGAGCCCCGGATCCAATAGTGGCCACCAATCCAGTTTCTGCCACAGGCCACTGGTACTTAATACCCAGCGAGTCAAGCTCATTTCTAATGAGTTGACTCGTCTCAAACTCTTCAAATGATAATTCCGGGTACTCATGGATTCTCCGACGAACTCTTTTCAACCAGCCGAAGAACTGGGCATCTTTTGCTGATTCCAAAAGGTCCCGAGTCAACAACTCAGTCTCAAAACCCGGTAAAGAATGGGATTGTGACGATGAACAGATTGATACAAGTGAGAGTAGAGAGAAGCAAGTGAGCGTTCGAATCCTCTCCATATTGGAAAAAAATTGCTTCTTGTTTCCGGTGCCTTCGACAATGCACGGCTAATGACCACCAAACTTTTATTAATTTATTATACATAATTGTGTTTTCACCTCTAAGGTTTGATAATGACAATGTTTTCCCAAACATTAAAAAAAGCTAATTGGCCAATTAGAGCATCTCCAAATAGTATATTATGTATACACTAGTTTTTGTCCGTGCATCGCTAATTGGCCGATTAGAGCATCTCCAAATAGTATCTTATATATATATACTAGTTTTTGCCTGTGCGATGCACGGGTTGGGTTATTTTGAAGGTTATATTAGTGTGTTAAATATGTAAAATTA